TTCTCTGCTCCGCCATTCTCCTCTCAGAATCTTGGGCATGCAGGCACATGCACCTGGCATGAGTTTAGTCCACTGGGTCTGGGACTCAGACTGTGGTCGACTACATGGCAGTCCAGCAACATAGCCATCATGCCAACTGTTGGTCCCCTTTATGGTATCTTCTTAAGGTTGGTACTACATAGCCGGGAACTACAAACGCTAAATACAGAAATGCTATAGTTGATCGAAGGATCCAGTTTGTGGCTAACATGATAGTTTTTAAAAGATGGGAAGCAATATAAAACTGAATTCTGAGCTACTAGAGTAAGAACATTATTATTATTTTTTAGTTTGATCAGAGAGAGAGAGAAAGAGAAAGTGAGAAAGTAAGCTACCAGGTTTTGGACTTGAACCACGGTTGGTCATGTGGGAGTCCAGCGCCTTTAACCACCATGTCACCTGCTGACCTGATGTGTAGTTTTTTTTTTTTTTTAAGAATAATTTTATTTAATTTTATTTATCCATTCATTTATTATAATTTGACTAGAGAGACACAGAGAGGGCGGGGGAGAAGTGAGAAAGCAAGCTACCAGGTTCGGGATTCAAACCATGATCGGCCATGTGGGAGTGTCCAGTGCCTAAACCACCACGCCATTCACTGGTCCCGATGTGTAGCTTTTTTTAAAAAGTTATTTTAAAAGTTTATGTATTTCATGAGAGAGACAGAGATACTGCACCCTGAGAGGACCCTAACCCCACAATCTACTCCCAGTTCCTACCAGCCTGGGTCACTGGCACACACGTGCCTGCTCTAGTTAGGGGGGTTTTTGACAATCTTTTCATGCTGGCCTGTCTCACAGAACCTCGTGTTTTACAGTGGCCCATCATCTGGCTCCCTATTATGAAGCTTTTTAAAAATCTTAATTCCTGTTATAATTTCAAAGTCACTTATTTAGTAAAACAAAAACATGGGCGTAGGCAGGTAAGTAATTGTCCTTGCCTCCATCCTTTTCCCAGGGGACTTGGCTGTAAAAAATTAGGAAAATCTTAGCATTTTTGTGAAACTACATTTGGGAGAAGAAATTTTTGGATTTCACATGAAGGGTGTGTGTAAATGAAGAGAAGAAAGGGTCTCTTTTGGCAAGACAACTATTTATCAAAAGCTAAAGAGATAATGTCTGCATTTTTTCCATGTCTGTGAGACAACATTTAAATATATGTTGTTGCTTAGTTTTCCCCAGACTTTATCCTAGGTACTTGGGGAACGTTTTAGAAAAAGATGCCCAGCATGAGGTTCAATAGTACATATATCTTTAAAAGCTACCCAGGTTTGGGAACATTTTGAGGAGCAAATAGAATAATATTCTTTGTTAGAGAACTTTTATCAGTCTCATTTGATGTTTTGAATAGTCACCTGTTCCACATTTTACTCTTGATGTTTAAAACACTTCTCTTGAAGAAATAATGAGTCCATCCATAGTTTGAAAAGTCAGTTGTACAAGTGATGTCATTTTTTTATTGTGTTTAATCAGATTATAAAGACTTTGGAACACTTGCCCATTCCTACGAAAAATATGTTGGAGGAAAGCAAAGTACTTCCAATTATTCAACGCTGGTCCCAGACGAAAACTGCTGTCCCTCAGCTGAGTGAAGGCGATGGGTATTCTAGTGAGAATACATCACGTGCTCACACACCTCTCAACACACCCGATCCTTCCACCAAGATGAGCACCGAAGCTGACACAGACACTCCCAAGAAACTCATGTTCCGCAGACTTAAAATTATAAGTGAAAATAGTATGGACAGTGCAATCTCTGATGCAACCAGTGAGCTAGAAGGCAAAGATGGCAAAGATGACCTTGATCAGTTAGAAAATGTCCCTGTAGAGGAAGAGGAAGAATTACAGTCCCAACAGCTACTTCCACAACAGCTGCCTGAACCCAAAGTTGACAGTGAAACCACCATGGAGGCCAGTAAGCTCCCCATCTCTGAACCAGAGGCTGACACTGACACAGAGCCCAAAGAGAGCAACGACACGAAGCTCGAAGAAACTATTGCTGAGGAAACACCATCCCAAGATGAAGAGGAGTGTGTATCTGATGTGGAGAGTGAGAGGAGCCAAGAACAGCCAGATAAGACAGTGGATATAAGCGATTTGGCCACCAAGCTCCTAGACAGTTGGAAAGACCTAAAGGTAAGAAATTGTTTTTTCTTGATTTTAGAGTTTCATAAACCTAAGACAAATTAGCTGCTTTTCTAGCACGTGTATTTCTGAAAAATGGAATGTCTCCTTTACCGTCAGCTAATAAGCATCTTCAACATCCTTTAAACTTTGGCAAGAGTCATGTCGAACCAACTAATATACAGATGTCCCCTTTTCCCGCATGTATTAGGTTGTTGGGAAAGTCATGATACTTTTTTCTGTGCAAAAGTGCGTCATGACTTTTCCAATGACCCAATAGAAAAGCATATCACAACAATGACTTCAGTCATTTAAGTGTTCTCCATGTTAGGAACAAATCCGGGCCAGCTCAGAGCCTGGTGGTTAAGGGAGCGAAATCCTAGATGGCCCACCATGCAGTTTGGATCCTGGACCCGGCAGCTTGAGAAACATACCAGGTGCATATGCATGCTTGATCAAGCTCCTGACAGAATGGAAAAATGAAGGAGAAGGGATTGCGGTGTGACCACGCCCCACTGGGGGGGTGCTTTCTCCCTCTCTGTCTCTTTGTCACTGGTGAGTGCATGCACCCTCTGACCAAAAAAAAGAGAACACTAAACATTCTTTGAGTAACAAATATATGTTTTTATTAGTAACAATGAAAACAGTGTTTGAATTAATTGGAAGTCAGTTCATATGATTAATGGATAACTGGGACCAGCAGATGGCATAATGATTATGTTGCTGGACTCCCACATAGTTGACTATTGTTCGGGTCCTGGACCTGGTGGCTTAAAACTCACACAGGGCGCGTGTGCGTGCATACCCAAAATCTCAAGAGGAGGACGGAGAATTAGGGATTTTGCAGCATGGCCATCTCCCCGGGGGGTGATTTCTCACTTTCTGTCTCTGTTTCTCTCTCTCTGACGAGCGCATGCACCCTACAGCAAAAATCTCTGTTAAAAAAAAAAGAGAGAGAAAAGAAAAAAAAAGATTAATGGAAAATTAATTTTAAAAATAGGAAAACTAAGGTAATTTGGCAACTTCTCATTGAATGTAAATGATTGGGCATAAGTTACAGTCTAGAAAAGCAACTTTATGGAGCTAGCTGATATTCATCTCCATTATTGTTTCTGAAATAGGCCCGGGTTTAAATGCCTATTTCTTTGGATAAAATTGATATGTAGAGTAACAGAAAGATCTGAACCTTGATGCCTGTACATACGTAATCTCTGTTAGAGAATATAGTGAGACGTGCAGGGTTTGCTCTGCAGAAAGCCCAGTCTGGCTCTTGGATAAATAGAAGAGTGAACGATGAGATGAGCCAGGAGAGAGGCATGATGCTTTTCTATTTTAAGTGATCTGGACTTGGAGTCCAGGTTTCGAGGATCCTGTGGGAACAGGTTACTTCCTAGGTTCTGTTTTTCTGTTCCTTCTTTCTTCTGCCAGAAGTGAACAACCAGATAACCAGCAATAGAGGTTTACTTGCAGCAAGATGGATGCCTGCCCCTCCCTGTCCCTAGTTATGACTACAGAGCTCACCCCTTTAGGTTTTGTGATTCACATGGTGGAAATGACCTTGCGCTGAGCAAAATGAGTAGTTGGTTGTGCACTGTGCTTCCTAATTTGCTATGTTGAGACCCTCCTTTAAGCATGGTGTGGTTTCAGCTCGCGTTTACCCAGTAGAGCTCTTCTGTATCTTACTCTTCCATAATTCCACTAACAATTCAGCATAAACTTAGCCTTATTAAGTCTCGTGGATCTGACCTTTCTGTAAATGTTAAAAGTAGGGTTCATGGTAAGTTTCTTATAATACGAAATGTGAACTGCAGAAATCAGAATTGTAATTCATTGAAAAAGATGCTAAGGTGGTCACTTGGTGGAACTTGGTTTCAGGCCTGCTTTGTGACAGACAGCACAGGAGTTGCTGAGAGAAAGCCCTCTTGCAGGTTGCTGGTGCAGTCTGTACTGGCACTGCAGCTCAGTAATGACGGAGGCAGAGACCAGCACATGCCGGGCTCAGCAGAGGCCTTGACAGCTGTAGTGTCACAGCAGGGCAGTGAGTGGGTTGTAGACTCAGTAGTTCACTTTGGCCTGAGAAGTCGCTTGTGGACTTAATTTTTTTTTCAATTGCTAAGATACAGTCATCATAAACTTACCTTTTCTTAAAATCTGGATAAAGTACATATTTTTGTTTCTCTGTGTGATAGTTTGTTTTATCATTGTAACGGTATGAATTACTCTCTAAGGTGTACTTAACCCAGTTAGATACAACTGTGGTAATTCAGTCTCACACTCTAACACACATTTTTGAGTCCTACAAAATTATATCTTTCTCTTCTTGCTTTGCTCACTCTGAAAGATCCAGGCAGTTCCACTGGTGTGGCTTGATGATCCTCTGGACTTGAGATTTAAAATTTTATTCGTACTTACATTATGTCCTTCTTATCCATATTTTGATTTATCCTGATTCTGAGCACCAAGGAAGCCACTAAATAAAATCATCCTTTCTTCTTCAAGCTTTGGTTTGCTCTGGAGTCATTGCCTGTCTAGAATTGCATTACTAGAAACGTCTTTACTTATCTGTGAACTGTGGTGTTTTGTTACACATGGGTGCTGGGGGTTCTCAGTTCATCTCATTTCAATTAAGATTTACCGTGACTCTGATTTCAGAACTCAGATTATGGTTTTATGTTTGTTTTTATTTTTAAGTTATTTTTTTAGATAGCATTTAACCAGAAGTCTGAAATCAGGAACCCATAATTTGAACATGCTTTAGAGAAATACAGTGACCTGATGTAATGACTATATCCATACTGTCCCGGCATTGGAAGAGTTAACTACTTCTGTCTGACGTCCACCTATGTGTTAAGTAGATACTGGCTGAAAAGGAAGTATCTTATTTAATCAACCCTTAGCACCTGTTGCTAAGCACCATGTGTTAACTGCTGGTCTTCACTTCCTAGACCACGCTAAAAAGCACTGATCCCAGATTAAGTTTTGTTAGCCACTCTAAGCCGCCTCGACCTTTTGGGGCTGCCATACATGGCTTTTCTACATACTGAATGGAATGAAGAACTGAAAAGGGTTGTTCGGATGCCTTAATCTTGGTTTTACTGTGAAGGCAGATTTATAGGGATCATCAGTAAATGAGAGAGGGTGGGGGGGAAGGGAATGCAGCCTCATAAGTTACGCTTTGTCCTCCCAGATCTGATGATGATCCCCCTTGTAACTTGAACCATTTCCATCTAGCTTCTCAGGGCAGCAAGGAGCTTGTTAACATCACCAGCTGACCATGTGTCTCCTTTTCTCAACTCCATTTCCAACTTCGTGCTGAAGAAAAAAGAGAACCTAGCGTGCATTCTGTGAAGAAGCAGGAAGATGGTTGGGAAGTTGGATGATGCATGAAAAATATAATAGGTGAACAGAGGACAGAGGTGGTTAACTCACTGGCGCCGGCGTTATTTTGGTGCGTCCATTGCCAACAATGGATGTCGTTCCGGGAAAATCCCTACTCCTGGCGAGAAAGAATTAAGTGAGCTACTTTTTCTATACCTATATACACAGGACCACTCCCTCAACTCCACGAGGCTTACCCCTAAAGTTGACCACAAACAGAAATATCTCTTAGCACATCGCCATTTATGAGCATGTATTCATTTTCATGTGCAAATTTATTGGGCTACATTTTCAGCAGGGACATGTGCGTGTATTTCTGTTTGCAAAAGGAATTGTTGTACATCACTCCCAAAGCTGAAAATATACCTTAGACTTCATAGCACAAAACAGCTGGTTACAAGTGATGACTAAACTTGACTGGTAAATCTTCACTCATTTGGATCATGAGAACAGGAGGTAAGGTTCCCAGGAACTCGGCAGTTTGCATTGCTGTTAAACACCGAGCAGTTGTAATGGTTAGTGACCCCATAGCCCCTCTTGTAAAACACTTAGATTACGAGGTGCGTGTCTCTCCTTACAATGAAGCTGGCGTAGCTCATTCGTAACTGGAGTTACACAGTTTAGGGACATCATTATTTACGTGTAAGTTGAGCTCGTCTTAATGACTACGTTTTCTCTTCTCTTATTTCCTCTTTATCTCAAGGCCTTACCTTTAATTTAATTGTAGTATTTTCTGAGAAAGCTAAGCATTAAACTCTACAGAAAGTTGAAGTGAAACAGAGTCATCCAAACTAAAAAGTTTTGTGGCACTGCTTGGATTTTTACTCTGTCACTAATATTGTATGGGAAATCGACTCTGTAGTATTTGAAAGTAAAAGTATAGACTGGCCCCATGGCTTGGAAGCCGATCCCCACATGGCCAACTGCATGGTTCAAATCCTAGCCCTAGTGGCTTGAAAAACACTCTGGGCATGTGTGTCCACACGCTTGAAATCCTAAGAGGATGGAGAAATGGAGGAGAAGGGGTTGCAGTACAGATATGCCCCAAACAATTTCTCTCGCTCTCGCTCTCGCTCATCTACCCTCTGGGAAATGACAAAGAAAGAAAGAAGGGCCAGCAGAAGACATGATAGTTTACATGCTGGACTCCCACATGGTCAACTGTGGTTCAAGGCCTAGAACTGGCAGCTTGAAAGTCACACTGGCATGTGTGACTTGAAAGTCACATGTATGTGCATGCATGCCCAAACTCCCAGGAGGAGAACGGAAGAGAAGGGATTATGCTATGGCCATCTCCCAAGGCGGGTGATTTCTCACTTTCCCTCACTCCTACGGCAAAAAAAAAAAAAAGGAAAGGAAATCATGTGTCCTGGATTTCTGAAATAAGATTTAGCATCCTTAGTACAGTAAGTGATTACTCTCTGTGAGAATCAATAATACTTAGCCTTTACAATTTTATATGTATATATATATATTATTGCCCTCAGAGAATCCTGTTCTAGATGCTGCTACATTGGATATTTGTTGATGTATATGTGTATACACGTATGTGTGTGTGTGTGTGTATATATGTATACATACACACATATACATACACATACATATATACACACACACATATATACATACACACA